CCTTCAGCAGGGCCAAGCAGCTCTCCAGCAACCCCTCGCTGTCTTTTAAAGCGATGTCCAGCGTGAGCCAGGAGGACACGCACCTCAGCACCCGCTCTCTGACCGGACAGGGTGCGTCCGGCCGCTGTAGTAACTGCTGGAGCAGGGAGCAGACCGAGCTCCAGTCCACAGCCAGAGCGCTTCTCAGCTGTGAGCGCCGAGAGGCCGGGATCCTGCTGCTTTGCAGCTCCTCGGGCAGAACGGCGAGGAGCTCTAGAAGCGCGAGGCATCGGGCTTGACCGTCAGCTTCCGTCACACTCTCTCCAGTCTGGAAGGCACACAGAAGATCTGGTACTGCCGTCGGCCACGTTTCGGCTAAGACGTGAAGAACCAAAGAGGCCAGAGCGACGCAGAGCCTCGTCAGCACCAGCTTAGGCCCCGATGCAAACTGGCCGATCTGGGTGATGAGCTGCGAGCGGAGCGAGTCTAACTGACCCGGCGGGAGGTCGGACCAATGGCTGGAGATTTTAGCATGTAATGTGCTTGCCCCAAAGAACTGGATCTCAGGAACCTAATGTGAAACCAAATAAGTAAGATCAATGAATGTAATGCAGTGAAAGGTATACATTTTAGAGTGTGGAGTAGTCGAACCCACTGCTTACTTTGTCTGGCCTGAGCAAAGCCCAGCAGAAGTGCCAGGCTTGTGGTGATGCCTGGGCTTGTGTGAGCCACTTCTGGGCCACATTCTTCTTGTCCATATCAGGGTCATAGTAGAGCTGCTGAAGAGCCTACAGAACATTAGGAAAGACCAAAGACTGATTCTATTATAATTACTCTACTTGTCAAAAGGTTGAAATCATTAAGTCTCTTATGCTCACAAATGCTGCATTTATTCGAAAAAATACAGAAAAAAAACACAAAATACAGTAATATTCAGATTTTTATAGATAGATTCTATATTAATATGTTAATTCATTTTAAAATATCATGTATTTCTGTGATGACAAAGCTGAATTTTTAGCAGCCATTACTCCAGTCTTCAAACTGTTTTTACTGCTTAATATTTTTGTGGAAATGTGAAACACTACAATTCATATATATAGTTTGGGTAAGTTAATTTAGTTTTTTTTTATTAATTTTTTTTAGAAATTAATACTTTTATTCAGCATGAACACATTACATTTATCAAAAAGTCACTGTAAAGACATTTATGATGTTACAAAAGATCTCTCACCGAGGCTGCATTTATTTGTACATTTTCAGCAGTTATATACAATTGTACAATTTTTGTTATATAATATTTTTGTCGAAAGCATTATACATTTTTCTAAGGATTCTTTTATGAATAAAAAGTTCAAAAACAGCATTTATTTGAAATAGAAATCTTTTGTAACTTTATAAATGTCGTTACTGTCACTTTTGGTCAATTTAATGCATATAAAGGAGTATTAATGCAATAAAAGTATTCATTGCTTTTTTTTTTAAATTACCCCCAACAGCAAAAACTGTTTTCAACCAATAATAATAACAATAACAATAATAATAAATGTTTCTTGAGCAGCAAATCATCATATTAGAATGATTTCTGAAGGATCATGTGACACTGAAGACTGAAGTAATGATGCTGAAAATTCAACTTTTTTAAATTTTTAAAATATATTCAAATAGAAAACCCTGGTGAGCATAAGAGACTCAGTTCAAAAATATTAAACAATCGTAATGATTCTAAACTTTTGACTTGTATAGTACATATTGATAATTCCATATTCTTTCCCCCAAAAATGTATTGATAATGCATAGATAAGATGTCACTGAAATCACAGCACACAATGGGGAAGCATAACATAAAGCAGCCACCAAATCCCCCACATGCTGACAGTTATTATTAGACTAGCACAGCTTACTGAAGATATCAAGTTACTTTCCACTTACAGAAGCTTCTTTATTGTTCTGAAGTGCACAAGGCCAAACACCTTCAAACTTGTGTGGCTTTACTCGGCTGTTAGTGGAATTATGTGAATATGAAGGAATAGAGGCCTCAGGGACAGCATTGTCCAAACGAAAGGCAGCCCTGAATGGAGCTGATGAAATTTACTTCTATTGAATTATAGCTCTCGCCTCAGGTTTACATCTCCAAACCTTGGCAGTTTTGATTTAATCGCTCTTAAAGAAAAGAAAAATGGCTTGTTAAAATGTATGGCTATCACACATTTCTTTCAACTCAAGTGTTAGCAATAATTCTCACCCTTCAGTGTCTTTTCAGAAAGGCAGAGGCACTAGTTGTAGGCACAAAGTTACTGTTATTCACACACTTCATGAAATGCTAAGCAGTGACAGAAATGTTCTGCGTGACGTGACATATGATCAGTGTTGGGGGTAACTCACAAGTAACGTGAGTTACGTAATCAGATTACTTTTTTCAAGTAACTAGTAAAGTAACGCATTACTTTCCATAAAAAGTAACTAAGTACCGTAATTAGTTACTTTTTTATGGAGTAACGCAATATTGTAATGCATTACTTTTAAAAGTAACTTTCCCCAACACTGCATATGATATTAAAAAAACGTTTTGAAAAGTTTCAGTTATAGTATAAAATTCATAGTTTAGTCCTGGCTTCTGATTGGTCAGTACAGTGTTGCAGTCATCTTATTTTCCTTACATAGTGATAGAGTGGAAAAGTAAAACGTAAAAAAAAAAAAAATGTAATGTTACTTTATTGACCTTTAAAGATAGAGTATCATGAGTTACACTTCTGATATACTTCTGTTAAAGCCATTAGCATGCATTATTTCAACTTATTTTTTTAATTATCATATTCAACAGCTGAATTCTTGGTGAAAACTACATTACCCATAATTCACCAATCAAAGAACGCCACCAATCAGAGAATCAAAATTATTAAAAGAGCTCTTTTCCTATGCTATATATATATATATATGCATATTTCTCAATAAAATAACTTGTTTCTCTCTCTCTTTCTCATCAACATCTTTAAATAAACAGTTTTATATTTATCCATGATTGTTATTTCAATTATATTGTTCACGATGATTCTAGGTTTGTAGTTCTTTGTACCTTTGTTTCTTTCATATTTATTTATTGTCAGATTTTCTGATAATGTTTTGATTCTGTAATGTTGTGATTTTCACCTCTTGGTTGAGTGGTTTGGTTCATGGCTTTTAACTCTTAAACAAAGGTATTTTTAAATCCCTATTGGATTTTCGTTTTATTCTGGTGTGTCAGTTGCCACTCAAGCCTTAAAACATAACTTAAAAATACTTCTGAAAATTAACTTGCTGTTATTTCAACACGACCCAGATAATATAATTTCATCTGTTTTTTTATTTTACTCACACCTTATTGATATATGTGTCAAAATAATAATAGCAATTTAAAAAAGATTATCTGGCCCAATCAAAACCCAGTAAGCTTAAAAAAAAAAAAAAAAAAAAGGAAGAAA